ATAATATTTCATTTTTCCAGTTGAACCAGACTGACCAATGCCAAATGAATAACAAAGAAACAAACCAAAAGGATTCTGTGTTTCCCCTGTCAGGATTCCTCTGCACATTTGCTTGTGTGCCCCAGCATTCTCAGTCAGCTCAGCTATCCCAGCTAGTCCCGACTAGCTTCCTCTATTAAACATTTAGCACTCTGCCTAAGACCTTTAAATGGCTGATTCAAAACACTTCTCACCATGAACTGAAATCTGATCTTCCCTTTCTCCTGGAAGTGAAATACCCAGCATGTTAAAGCTGCAAACTAAATCCTAACATAGTCAAACAAACCCAGCATTAACCACTTGAACTTCTGGTGTTAAGGTTCAAATCTGACTCGGAATTGTCAAGTGTAACCTTTTCCTACAAGGCTGCTTTAAACACATATAAGTGCAGCTCAAGACCACATCTGGAATGAAAAAACCAGATTTCCAGCTTGATCTTACAGAGGCCCTACTAGCTGTCAACTCCTTATAACCTCTTGATAAAAGAATTCAAGTAGGAGATAACCAAATTCTGCACAACTTGAATGAACTAGAGCTCAACTCTTCAAAAGCATCTTGGATTTTACAGCACTGTGATGTGACAGGCTGGAAATTCAGCCTCAGTTCCATTTAAAGATAACAAGTGACTTGCAATTAATAAGGAAAATATCACAGGGAACACAGTTGCTTTCAGGCCACTTATTGTGATATTGCATTGATTTTTTTCCATATTATTTGTCAGTCTTGTGTGAATTACCTGAACATTTGTACGTAGTCAACACACCCCATTTGCTGCCAGAAACTGTTAGCAGCAGAGCAGAGCAGGAGCTTTTGACACCTGGTGAGGTGTTAGAGGGTACTGTGACACAAACACAATTACCTGGTTATTCCTGCCACCATGATGAGCAATCAAAGCTGCTAAAACTGTTGAAAAGGAAACTGTCTTAAGATTTTAGCCTCTCATCACTTGGATGGCTGGATCAATCCACAGTTTGACTGCCTAGTCTTAATTAAGGCATCATGACACTTAGGAGAAAATAGTAAGAAATGTCTAATGCAAGAACAGTCAATGAGTTCTTCCTAAATTAACACTGTTCTTTGAAATTCTTCAAAGCATCTGCTAGGCAGCATTGTGGACTTCAAAAATAATTCATATTGAAGTGCAAGCAATAAAATAACATTTGCTGAGTTACCCACACTTACCATGGGAAGAAGGCAAAAAGTCTGGTAGAGTTGGAGGCACATCCTTCCACTCAGAGCACCACAAGAAGGGACTCTGAGTTGGTATATCCAAGTTGTAGCATCCAGTTTCAAAAACTGTTTTTGGGAAGAAACTTAGGACTGAATCTGGAAGAGGACATAAATGCTCCCAAGGAACTACAGCAAGAATATTATTATATTGGAAGAAATATGATCTGAGCTTAAGGGCCAAAGGCTAAAGACAAGGGAGAAGAAAATTATCTTGTGACTGGATTGTGAAAAACTCCATTGAGACCTTCTGGACTCTGTTCATGGGAACCATTTCTCTCTGAGTGGATACATGGGAGCTGGACCTGTCACAGGGAATATGTTGTCGTACACCAGATAAATAACAAGGCAGTCAAATACACAGGGAAGGATTGGAACAAGTAGGAATAAAAAGCTGCATATTATTGGGAGTATCTGGGGCAGTTCAGGGAAAAGAATAATCAAATAGGAAAATCAAATATAAATATTTTCCACGGGTGAAAGGTTTTGATGCACTCTTCTGCAGAAAACTTTCCAGTTGTGAGTGCCTATTTACATTAAATCTGCACAAGCTGGAATTTCTGAGGCACACAAAGTCCCAAGATATAAAAGTCCTTGGAGGCCATAAAGGGCTCAGGAAACACATGGAAATAACTGGAGGCTTCCAGCCACAAACCTTCTGTGCCAAACTTCTATTTTGCCTCGTGAACTCAAAGGGCTAAACAGGCCAGTGCCTTGTTCTGGGGCTCCTGCTATCAGAAGAAAACTGAAACAGTCTCTTGAAGCCATTTATGCAATGAAACAATTACTGCTGCTTTTAATATCTTCTTGCCCTGGGCAGCCACCTGTGTCGCCGAACACACATATTGCAGAGCTGGCCCTGGCAGCCAAGCACAGTGGGTCAGGCAGTCTCAGTGTCACAAAAACAATGAGAGGAGATAGCACAGCTGTGGAAACCTGCCTGAGGCTCTCTGGCTTACATGGTTTTAAAGGAGTGTTTGCAGCACTGACAGTTATGGACAGTTTTCCCACACAGAACTATTAGAAAATGGTCATGGCCAGCCCTGAGCCCCCAGACAGCTTTTACTTTATCAAGATTAAAGGAAGAGGAGGCAGCTGGGGCTAATAAGTTGCAAATCAATGCCATTAGCAAAGAGAGTAAAGAAAAAAGATCCAAGCCCTGCAAAAGCTAAAGCTTTTAGCTCTGCCTCTTGCTGTGCAGAAAATTATTGTACAGTTGTCCCAGTTCTCCTTGGATTTGTCCTCAGATTCAAGGAGATAAAAGATACAGAAAATGTCTGAACTTCCTGTTTATTAAAATATATGTAAGTCACACATATGCAGCTGTATGTATACACATGCACACATATTTCTTTTGCTATTTAGTGCAATTGACTTTGTATCAGACTTTGCATAATAATTTCAGTATTTAAGAAAAATAGCATCTCAGATTAGTGAGATAATGGAATTAAATTCCATAACCCTCTATGACCTGCCACAGGCTATGGAATGACAGCACAGACCCACTTCATGGCATGAGATCTTCACAGCTTCAGAGTTAATGACACAAAGACCAGCAAACTCAAACACAGGCAGGAACAACATTAGCATTTCCAGCTTTTCTGGAAATCTGTTTCAACAGATTCCATCTGTTTCCCCTGTTGGAGAACTGTGTGCCATGAAACCCATAACCATCATTGCTGTGCTCAGCCAGGCTGCTCCTGCTGCAGCCACTCCCTGTGCAGAAGGGACCGACTGTGCACACATCCTTCAGTCTTGTGTCCACTCTTCCTGACTGGCTTTATCAACCTGGATTCACACTACACCAGAAACTGCTAAGGAATAGATACAAAATTAAAAATACAGCTTCAATAAGAGAAATGACAACTCATAAAACTGTTATTACACTTAGCAATTGACTTGGATTGCTCTGTTTCACACAGTGACTTGTTTGGGTACACCAATGCCTTCTGCCTTCATAACTTTGCCTTGGTGTGTGCAAATGAACTGTCACATTTCTCTGAGCAATATTCATTTACATGCCCATATTTAAATCTCTTTCTCAATATTAATTTAGACTGTCATACTTTAATCTCTCTTGTCACTGCCTGGCTCCTTTGCAATTAAAAAAGCACCCACCTGTTCCCCAAATGAACAATGAATTACTATTACAGATTTTCACCTAGCTTTTGTAGAAATACACTTTCTCCAATAATGTATTTCCTTTCTTTGTAAGCAATGATGATTAACACATCAGACAGTTTATGCAGAGCTTTTCAATAGCTCTAATGAGAAAGATACTTTTTTCCACATTCTACAAGGAAAACCACCTGTACTATATTGGCTATAACCATGAAATACCATTACAGAAGAATGTAATCAGATATACAAAAGCTATGAGGCTGCAATGTTGTGAATTCTGGAAATTCAGAAGGAGAATCAAAAATTAAATATTTATTTATAAAGTATTGACAATAATTTTTTTGTGAGAATGATGGAGGTTAAGGGGGAATGGAGCTCAGAGAAAAAAACCAAGCAAAGAAGAGCAGGATATCCATGTCAGCCAAAGTGGAGAAAATGCCTTGAGGTCCCAATTTGCTTAGTAAACAAAGAATGTCACTAGGACAACAGTTTGACTGAATGTCAGCTGGAAAATTATTCCACAGAGAAAGATTTTGAGATCAATAAGAAGTCTGAAAGAAAACACTCAGAAAAAAAATAAAAAAAAAAGGACATGAGGAAAAGAAATTTATCAGTGCAAAAACCTGAATGGTTTCAAAATCAGAGAGAGTACCAGTGCATTTGAACCCATTAAAGCATTGGAGTGGAAATTTTGTTTTACTAGTTCTTCCCCTTACAGGCTGAGTAGTATTGTTTAAAACAAAGCCCCTCTCAGTGGCCCTGCTCCCTGTTCCCCCCCAAAATACACAGCAAATCTGCTTAGCATTTATCCCAGGCTGAAAGCAAACTTACACCCAACCAGGAAACTGCAGTCTCCAGGCACCAGATTTAGATTTAGAGCAGTGGCATTTTATTTTGCATTTAATGTATTGTATTGTTAGAAGGACAGGCCATCCTTTGATAGCATCCTATAAAATTCCAAAGACAAGCTGAGACTATCATAGTTCAAAAACCAAGATCTCCAGCAAATATATCCACACCAGGGACTTTGCTGCCAATTGCAAAAGGAATATGCTCATCTTTACTACCTCATTTCCCTTACAAAAAAGAATGTAAGGCCTGGAATAAAAACATCCTGGTCTAGAACTTTGCCTACCAACAGGGACACTCCAAACCAGTTTTCTGCTGACACACAACCTGACAGTTGCAAGTCAGACTTTCTGTGCTTATCACTTTCCTCATAATGAGCTTCTCCTGTCTGACATGAGATCAGAGCAGCAGCAGAACAGTGTCACCCTTTGATCTGGGCTATTCTAGATATATTCCTATTCCTTCAGATGAAAAGTATTTGATTTTTGCCATCTGCAGCCAAATCAACCAATTTGACCCAAAGCTTGCCTAAGTTAGAAGGTTTTAATAAGGATTTGATTCACTTTCTAAATGTAGGTAAGATATTTTATGGCTATTTCCAGAAACCAAACCTTCTCTATAATTCAGCACCATATATTACCTGCTCAGTTTCATACACACACAGGTATTTCCTTAGCTTGTTAATAAAAGCTATTCTGCCTTATTGTAAAAGCCAAGTCCCATTTTCTTCTCTGATTTTTTTCAGAAAGAGGCTAAAAGCATAATAAAATATCATCCATTTATTTTATTTTCTTCCCATCATTCATTATTTGAACAAATATATTAGCATACTTAAAATACACTCTGAAACTGTGATTTTAATATACTTTATTGAAAAAAGTACACAGTTTAAATTGTATTCAATGGGACAAAGCAATGGTCACCTCTATCTACCAAGTCCTTTTTTGATGAATCATGACTGCCATATGCCAAATTCACATCTGCACGACTTGCAAAGTAAAAAGATAAATCTTTTTTCAACATATCTTTAAGAATTTATATCACCAACAGTTTAAAATCATGAAATGCTGATGCTCTGACTATATTTCATGTCCTCTATGTTGCACCATTTCCCAGTTCACAGTTTATCCATGTTTTAGCATGCCAGTTGAACACATCAGTCAATGTCACCTGGAGAAAATCATCAATAGTAGAGGAAGAAGAAGAAGAGAAGGTTTAGCACTAAGGCCTGAGACACCGCCACATTCTCTTGCATTTTCCTAAAGAAAATAAAACAAAAACAAAAGAAAATAAATACAAGCCACTACAGTCAATTATGACACATGCTTTTTTAGCAAACATAGGCATTAGAGCACTGATGCAAACAACAAAGCCCATAAATTAAATATACTCAGGAAGTTAATGCAAGTACACATTTTGAGTTGAACAAGTTTAGGTTGTAGACTGAAACAACAAGCACTACACCATCCTCTCTAATTTTTTCTTTAGGTCTTGTTCTACAAGAACATTATATCAGCAGAGGCAGAAATTAAAGTCACTCCAGAGTAAAAAGGATGACAATGAACCTATCCTGTACAAGCCACTGTAATCACATCCTGGTCTCTACCAGCTCTCCTTGGGCTGTGTGAGAGCATTATTCACAACACAGAGCAGTAAATACATGGTGTGGAGGGGTCACTATCCCTCCCAGGCAATATTATGTGTGAGCACAATGACTATAGCATGACAGGGTTGATACTGACACTAATTCCTGAAGCAAACATTGACAGCAGAACATTCCCAGCCATCTCTAAGGAATCCTGTGGTCACTGCTTGGGCCAGAGTAAGTTCTCAGATATTCCTGGCTGCCAGTGCTCATACCCTGCCACGTTCTCTGACATGACACAAACCAGTCTGCAGAAGCAGCAACTCAAGGCATTGTCTACATGAGTACAAAAAACACTTGTAGCACTTCCAATATCCCTGACTACTGAGTCTTATGATGATTTCCCAACATTTCATCTTGGAAGATAGTTTTCCTATTAATCATTTTTAAAGAAATAAAAAATTTACCAGAGCTCAAAAGAAAGGAAAAGTAGATAGAAACTTACTTCAGGGTGAAATCCATGACAAGATTCTGGGCGTCTTCTTATCTTCTGAGATTTCAACCGTTCACATTTAAGGGATTCATTATGTACAAGGCAGTTAAGGAGAGATGCTCTGAGCATTGCATTCTCATGGGATTGTTTTGAAATGAATACAGTGAATTTCAGCTCCTTTCTTCCTCTCCATTAAAACCCCCAGGTGATATGTGTGGGCACCACAAGGAAAAGAAAGTGATTCTAGTGCTTTCCTCTCTGTGATCTGTGTTTTCAACAGCACTGCTGACCTGCCTTTCCATAAGTCTGCAATAAAAGCACACCCCAGGCTGCTTCTGAAAAATTCCAGTTTATGGGAAAAAACTAATCCTGAACTGCCTGAACTACAGAGCAGCAAAAAACAGGAAGTAGAGCAACAAAAAAATCAAGTGATATATTTACTTTGCTAAACTTTTGTAGATTTGGAAAGCAGGACTCTGAAACATTTTCAATGCTCCAGTCAAGCCTTAAATAAAGAGATATCTATATTAGAGTGAGTTCTGTAACTTCCAGTATAATGAGGTCCATCTGATAAGAAAATTACATACTTAGTGGCTTATTTGAAAGCTGTTCAGCTGTCTAAGGATGACCATGACCTTATGCTACATAGGATCCATGTAAGTGTGTTTGCTTAATTCATATTGGCTGTGAAAAACAGGAAAAAAAAGAGAAGTGAATGCACATTGAAAAAATGTGAGAACATATTCCCAGATGGCTTAATTTCAAACAGCACATATAATGGGTGATGATGTCATACAATACAAGTTTTACATGATAAGAAGTTTTTCAATATTTGCATCTTGAATCTCTTTCTGACCAGTTTGTAATAACAAAAGGATATATCTTATTTCTATAGGTGCCATGGTAATTGGTGGGATAGAATCACAGAAGCATTCATTATCTACTACCACCATGAAGAGGTTGCTACTTGGGATCTGCTGGATAACAAAAGACCTGAAAATTAAAAAGAAAACAAATAATGGTGACATTATCAGCATTTCTGAGCCACTGGTTCTTGTTAGGAGTTTATCAGACTTTTATGTATTTCCAGTCTGGAATGGAACAGATCCACAACTCTACTGAAGGCTCCTCTGCAGCCACACACTGACAGCTCACAGCCCCAAACTTGAGTCTCTACAGTTGTATCAGGGCCTTTGTGCACCCTGGGTCCTGCTTGAAGCAACAGCAACTCCTGATCAGCTTTCATCTGTCCTCTGGAGAGCCATTTTATTACTGAGCCAACAAAACAGAGATTAGGCCTCAGCAGTTTCCAAAGTGATTTATTTTAGAATAATGACTATCTGGTATAAATATGGTGATAACTCAGCACCACATTCAAATGAAGACAAAGTAGGCAACTCAAAGGGAGAGCAAAAAAATAAAGGCATTTTTTGTAAGAAGGAAATCACCCAGGGAAAGATCCTGTGGGCACCAGTCAGTGATGCACAGAATTTCTGTGAGCTGAACCCTTAAGCACACACCAAAGAGAAAAGGGGCAAAAGGCAGAGCCAGATGGACACTATTTAGCCTTTCTTTTGAAACTCAGGACACAATACAAAAAATGGCTTTAAGCTCAGACCCAATTCCACATGAAATTTTGAAGCAATCTGTTAGAATTGGTACATCCTATCAGCAGCATGTCAGCCATGTCAAATATCACTGAAATCTGGCAACTCCAAGAATTAGGTGTTTTGCAGTGTGGTTTGCTGCAAATGTACAGAATGCTAAGTGAGGGTTTGAGCACCAAGAAGATGTGGAGAGAAACATATTTTTCCTCAGACATCTTTCTTTAAAATACATATTGTCTTACTATAATAACTCCCTGCTTTTTCCAAAGATCACAGAAGATGAAATAGCAGAGAGGGCAGGGAATATTTAGACCTAGCCTAAGAAAAAAAATTTGGAAAACTTACTATAAAAATGTTGCCAACGGAAAGATTAAATGCTTTTCAGTATTTTTTAAACTTACTGAACCTCCATTAAAATTACACTTAGAGTGATCTGCAATATGTTAACTTTATGTTTATACATGAAATATACATTTATGGCATAATGTAAAAGGCTGAACTTTATAAATGTACCTACCAAACAGCTGGAGCATGTAGCAAGACTGACATCATTGTAATGGAGCATCTGTGGCTTTGTGGATTTGTGTGTGGGAGAAATGGGGCCAATAAAAGGAAAGGAGGAAAAATCTTTAGCAGGCAATAGCACCAAAATTGTACTGCATGAATTTCTCAAAACAGCTATGAATAAATCAAACAGTAAAGGATAGAAAAAACATTACTTTTATTGCCAGAAATTGGCACTATTTGCATTTTGTGCAGTCTGAAACTTATATTCATTTTATCTTTAAAACTAGCTCAGAAAAGAACCTGATGGGCATAAAGTGCTTTAACAATTAATTGGATGCTAAAGGATTAATTTCTTTTTGCTGAGAAGGGAGTAATTTCTCTTCTGTTTTACCTGTGGTGTGCCCAAATTCAGGCCCTTTTTTGATACCCCTTTTTGTCACCCCCCAGGTGAACACTGGAGCCTGTGGAAAGCAGGTACCCCACAGCCAGGTTTAAATTAAGGTGCCAGCTCAGGAAAGCTGGGAAATTTCCCATTCTGATCCTTCTTTCACCCACTCTGAGGTGCCACCAGGGCTGTGCAGTATGAGGCTATGCCTTCCTCAAACTAGAGAGGGGAGAAGAAAAATTCCCATCATTTCACCTAGCTGGGATGAAAGCACTTAATCCAGAAGAGTGTTTCAACTACAGAATTATGATGCTGAGTAAATTACTACACAGCTAAACTATGAAGTCTAGCAAAATTTTCTGTATTGCTTTATTACTGAAAGCCTTCATTATTTTTGATTTCATCCATTTGGGGAATGCAGTACCTGCATCGACTGATGGAAATTATGAATTAAAAGCAGTTCAAAGAGCAATATATTAGTTAAGTAAAAACCCCTCTCTAGGAGCTATATCACAGGTATCAATTAAGTACCTTGACTCTGTTTACCAAACAGGGAATATTCTCACAGACCTACAGGCTGTTTAACTAGTACAGAAGTTTGTGAAGTGTCTAAGCTTATGGTGGCTGCCACAGAGCTATAAAGAAACATAAAATACTGAACATTTTGGCCCTCTGTAGCATTTTTTTCCTTAGTGCACAATAACAACTTCACTAGTATCTTGAAAAGTGAAATAACTTGCTTCTCATCCTCCCGCTAGAAGTTTTTTAACATTTTAAAAGAAAATGTTTTCTTCCATCAAGAAGTATATGGATGTTTCCCCTTACACAATTCTCAAACATAATCTGCAAATGAAGTTGTAAAGCCAACATACCAACAAGTGAAGATAGAGGATTCAAGACCTCGATTGAGCCAACCAAATAAATAAGGGCAAAAAAGTCCATTTCAGCTTTCTTTTCTATTTCTAATAGTTTGCACAAACAAAATATACCTCCTTCAGCCATTGTAATTTAAGATCATTTCACAGTCATGAGATATTCCTACCCTCACCAGATCAGTGGCAAAGAAATTTGTGCCAGTTGTAACCAACAGGGTTGCTGTGTGACTATTCAGATAATTCACATGGCACTGCTTCCATGCCCAAACTGGATAAAGCCCACAATCATCCCAGCAGCAGCTCTGCCCTTTGAGCCCAGCCTTCTGTTCCCATGGTGACATGCATATGCATCTTTGAAATTCATTTTGAACATTCATGCCAGTAAGTCTCAGGAACCAAACATTCAGAGAAAACAAAAGGTGCACAAACACAGTCAGACCAAAGCCTTTCAGAGACTGAGACATTCCACCAAAATACTTCACTGTGTAAGCCAAGGCTCTGTTGCAAGGGAGAAAAACCTCCAGCAAACAGCTTCCATGGCTGCACGGAGAAATGAAGTCGCTGACAAAGTAGGGAAAATGGTATTATCTTTTTGTGAGATCCACTGTGAGGCTCTAAAGGTTCTCTTACAATAACCATTCCTGAACACCTGCTGGCTTAAGCTGGCATTTGTGTCCCTGGTAATATGGAAACCAACTCTCAAGGACTAAGTAAGGGGTTTGGCTGAACTTTATTGCTGCTTTAACAATCAAAAGAAAGTCTATGTTTAAGTGCTTTATTATTAAAGAGAAGGTTTCACATTCAAAGGATAAAGCTCTTCTTGTTTTGAGAAATGTAAATCTTTTGATTTGAATCCTTTTCCTCTACTGCAGTATCATCACCACCATTCAGTGGGGCAGCACAGGAATAGGCTTGCAAATATCTCCAAATATAAAACAGACTAAACTGTTGGGGTTCCTGTTGAAGCTACTTTGAGTCAATAAGAAGCTTATTAATAATTTCTCCTCCATCTTTCATCCACAGAGGAACTAGCTTGGTTTATTTGATGTACAGGTTCAGAGGCTTAAAACAGACCTGAAAACAAACTGTTTCTTGACTTTGTGGGGAAGGTGGGGAAGGAAGAAATTTAATACTTGAAAGGGGTAGACAGAGAGGGAGGAAGAAAATCTAGTTATGCCAAACTATTTTGTTAATGAAGAAAAAATAACAACAGAGAGTAAGTCTGCAAGGAACTCTGTATTTTGAGTCAGAGTGTTACATGACAATTTTGTCATGTTGCACACACAGTATCTGTTTCTTTTTAACCTCTTTTGGTTCTGGTCCATATAAAAGCATGAGCGCAAATAAAATGCAAACAGGTTTGGGAAAAATACAACAGGTTCATGTTTTAATTTGTGAAAAATACAACAGGTTCATGTTTTAATTGGAAGTAGAAAATATTTGCTCAAAAAGCAATACTTATTAATCTGTTCCTCAAAAATTAATTTTTCATTGTGCAATTATAAAAAAATAGACTTGGACTGCAGGTAGTGCTGTGTTCATAATTATATTTGGTAGTCATGCTTCTGAAGGCATGAGAAGAAAGCACACTTTTAATGTGTGTCTGGTGGCTAAATGACTCTTCCCACAGATAATCAGTTCTTTCTCACTCCTTTAGGCAGCCTGTAACCTGGAAAGCATCATAAGAGCACTGCAGGGCAAACACTGGGGTGCAATCACACCTGCTGCCTTTGAGCACATAACTCAGGTTCCTGCAGTAGAAGGGTGAGCACCTCCAGCTCTGGCCATGCAGAGACACAAATTATTCAAGGACAATTCAGGGCAGGAGCTTGGCTTTGGGGATCTGAGCCATCCCCTGCAGGAGGGTCCTTCTCTCTAATGGATGGACAGTGATCCTGCAGAGAAATGCATCCTGAACAGGGTGAAACATGACACTTAGCAAAGCCAAGTGTGGGCTACAACACCTTTTCTGACTGAGCCAGCACATTACATTCAAATCTGGTTTGTTGGGTTTTTTGGGTTTGTTTTTTGTTGGTTTTTGGGTTTTTTGTTTTTGTTTTTTTTTTTTTTTTTTGTTTAAATTTAAATTGGAATCTCTCCCTTTTATTTGTACATGTAAAAGTCTTTAAAGAGTTATAACATATATTCTATAGTTATAATAATTTCTTCCCCAGACTGTTTAAAAAAAAAACCTGAACAAATCAAATCCCCCAACCTAATTCCCAAAATTCATATTATAAGAATTGCTTTCTACTGTAAGGAGAAATAATTAGAATATCTACAGTACAGACAGTGCAGAAGCAGGGACTGATCTGACACTGCCCTTGCAGCACTGCCTTCTCTCCACACTTCTTTCTCTTCCTTTCATCTTTCTGTCTCTGAAGCCCTGGGTGGTAAAGTGTTTGTGAGGGAACTGGGAGAGGGACAAACCTCTCTGGGAAAGGAGGAAGATGCTCCAAGATCAAAGGACAGGGACAGCAGGACAAGCAGGGACAGTGCCCTGTGGGAGAGGCTCTAGGGAAGCAGGTTTGCTGCTCCGGCAGGAGGTGCCTTTGCCATGAGAACTCTGAAAAATGTCACCTTAGAGATTCTGGAGCATTTCCCATGCTGATGGAGGCA